GAAGTAATGGTTTTTCTACCAATGGTTACTAGAAAATGGTCAACTTCACCTAAAGGTTGTTTTTGTTCACCATAGATTCTAGTCATTAACATAATTGAAAGGCAGTCAATTGCAATTCCAACTTCTTTTAAGAAACCTGCCGAAACAATACAACCTGAGAAACTACTATTCAAAATCAAAAGAATTGGCACATTGTTTACAAAAGCTTTGCAATACATTGACATCATATAATTCTCATCTGTTCTTTCTAGACAAAAATTGACAAACTTTGCTTTGGTAACTCGTTCAGAATACAATGACTTTTGAGTGTCTTTTCTTACTTCCAGCGTAGCTTAAAACAATTGAGCATATGTAATGTTGGCCTTTTTATTTTGAAGGTTTGATATAATTGAATATGGTTGAATACCAGTTATTACAGGAGGGTCTATCAGCTTTGTCCATTTCTTTTTTTCAATTTTTATCTTTTTATTAACATGATTCACCTTTTCTGCTGCTTCATTTTGAGGTGGGCCTTGGCTTTGTCAGGATGATCATTACTCTTTCGTTGTTGTTTTGCTAAATAGGCCTCCTTAATTTTTTGTACTAAGGAATTTTTTGATATTAATGCACACTCACCCTTAAAAGGTGTGTTACCTAGTTTAAATATTCAAACTCATCCTTCATTTGAGCGAATATTGCTTGAGCTCATGATCTATTATTGACTTGATTATTGCTGCTATTTTTAATATCACTTTAATTATCAAAAGTTGGTATTTGAGAGACATTTCTACTATCATTACCATAGCGAATTATATTTAGGCAGCCTCTTGCAATATGGCCCAGTTGTTGATATAAATAACAAATCAGACTACAGCCACTTCTTTCTCTACAGCTGTCATTGACCACAGAATAACTATTTCTATTATCGTTATTATTGTTTTCTTTTACAGCTGTTACAATTTCTTGTAGCAAAGAAATCATCTGACCCACAGAGTTTGAAGAAACCGTATTAGGCTGCGAATTCGTTACTAGCGGTTGTGACTGAAATGGTATTGATTGCTGTATTGATACTTGAGGCTGAAAAGTTTGTTGCGATAGTGATACCCATTGTTGTTGTAAATATGATTGTTGGTGCAAAGATTCAGTCATCATATTATAGATTGCCGCAGGTCTACAAAGAGCTAATCTATATGAAAATGTTATTTCACATACTCTGGCTCTGTCAATTGCTTCTTGCAATGTGTTTGACATGAAAGGTCCTACAGCTAAAGAAAGATCAGGGCGCAACCCTTGTACAAACATCTGCGCCTTTACCATTTCTGGATATTAACTCCCAACTCTAATTATTTGATTGAATAACATCAATATATCTGAAGCATATTGATCTACCGTTTCTCTAATTCATTGGTTTAGGGTTAATAATTCATTGTTCTACTGGCTAATTAAGGCTTGAGAACAAAAGGCTTGTCAGAATTGGTAGATAAAACTTTGTCGAGATGCAAAATCACTATTCCAATATCGTATATTATATTTTTGCTTTGTCTACCAATATGCAGCTTTTCTAGATAGATGTGGGCCAATTACTGCTAACCTTTTTTCTTCTGGGATATTGTTTGCTTCGAATACCTGGTCTACAAAGTCTAACCATTCTATGGGTCTTGAGTTCTAGCAGCAAACATGGAAATCTTAACGATATAATGTTTTTTCGATTGAGCTCTCAGCTCTAACGCATCGGCTATTGTCTATAATATTCATTGCGTTTGTTGATTGGGACCATCATTTGGTGTATCCAAAAGACTTACATTGGTCTTTACATTACTACTCTTTGAATTATAATTTCGATCCATAACAATATCATCATCCACTATCATTATATTCCTTTTTTCTTTTCCAGTTTTATTACTACTCTTGGATACATTTACTGGTTCGTAAGTCATATATTCTTTTGTAGATTTGTCATCGTTAGTCATGAAGGCTTTGTTTCAAGTTGTCATTAATATATCTACTTATTGTTTTGTGCATCCAAGCCTTTAGTTATCTTTCCCTCCGTTTGCTACTAATATATTGTTAGTTCTTTATCATCTTCTTAACTCTAATCTAACACAGAATGGATCTGTAATTTGTTCGATTATTCAATTATTCAAATTATATTATTAATTTTGTTAGCACAATGCTAATTCAAGTCATGTTCACTAATCTAATTAATTTTTTTAATACAAGCCGATCTTTGGCTTTTGCTCAAATTAATATTAAAATTTTAACACCAATGATCTTTGTTACGATTTTCCTTTTGTTTATTATTAAAATTCTTTATACTAATCGACTTTTACTTCTTATTAGTTTTTATATATCTACACAATCAGCACCATAAATGTTACGACCAAGGAAGAGTCTTGTATCGGTTCGGCCAATTTAGCAAAGGGTCGTAATCATTAACAAGAAATAAATCGAATATTTTATTAATACACAAAGGCATCAAAATGTAACAACTAATATATCTTTCAAGTGTTCCAGACACTGACAATACTAATATCTTTATTCTTCTATGACTTAGCAAGTTCCAAACTTACTATTCGTTAACTCAAGATACTAAACAACTCAACAAACAACTAAAGAAAAACTATCTCTCTAAAAAACTAACTAACTAAAAAAAAAACTCTAAACTAAAATATATATAACTCTATATATATACATGAATAAGCTTTAAAATACTCTATAGTCTAATTAAAGATATGCTGTATACTTCGCA